ATCCCGACGGGTTTCGGTGCATGCATAAACCGGTATTTCTTTCACAGTGTGCGGCAGCGGCGACAGCAGTCCCAGGGAATAGTCGGTGATAATTTTTGTTTGATTGTTTTTTTTGTTGGTGTTTTGATTAGTTTCGTTTTTGTTGGAGTTCTTTTGAGAGGGGTGGGTTTAAGTGAGAAAGAATTAACTCTGTGCTGCGGGCAAGGGGGCGGAGGCAGGATAGCTAATTGCAGATAGGATTTGATATTGCCTAACATCCGTGACAGGGAATGGGGGGAGGATGAGGAGAAGCCCGGCTTTAAAGCGCTGCGGAGAAGTGCGGCTCCGCCGTGCCCCATGTCCCGCCGTTCCCGGCTCTCTCCCACAAGAAACTCTTCCCCGGATTTTCCTCCCAGATCCAGCAGAAGAGAGCTCTGAAAGCCTTCGCCAGCGCCCAGACAGGAACGGACAGTGATCCCCACGGCTCCGGCCCGGGAGACGCCGCAGCGGGAAGGGTTCTGGGCTCCCACCCCCCGCCCCCCGTTCCCCTCGACGGGGCAGCGAGAGCCAGGGTGGGGGCCTTTCCTTCTAGCCTTGTTGTCTCGAAACGGATTATTTCACTAGGTGTGAAAGCCGATTCGCACACGGGGTCGAGGTACTTGATTTATCTACAGTTGTGCGCAGAAAGGGGTGCTGCAATTAAAAATAATACATAATATTCGTCGCCGCAAGCAGTAAGTGGAACACAGTCCCAGCGCTTTGTAGCAAGGGCATTGAGGTGCCCGTTGATAAAAGGGTCAGAATTAGGCCATTTTAGTCACCGATTCTCCAAACCTTTAAAACGGCCGAGGAACAATGAAAGTAATCCTTAACTCACTTTCAAAGTCCCTATGTATGTGCTGGAAAGAGACAAAATGTGTATGGACATAAGCAGCTAAATCGTGTTTTTTTCGGTGCTGCGTGGGTTCCGGCTGCCTCCCGGTCACCCCGAGAACTGGAGGGCATCGCCCGCGTCCGCCCCACCGGGGCTCGGCGTGCGGGTACCGCGGAGCGCCGGCTCCGGGAGTCAGGTTACGAGGCAACAGGAACCTCCTCCGCGCGTTTTGTTGGGTTTATTTATTCATTTATTTATTAAGGTTGAAATCATTAACCAGCCGGACCACAGAGACTGGAAGGAGGGCAAATAAAAAGAAGCTGCAGATCATTAAAAAAAAATCAACAATAACAAAAAAAAAAAAATCACAACAAAAAAACCCCAGCCACACAGAAAGCACACACTTGGGTACACACTGCATAAATGTCCGTGCGGGCTCTCTGCTGCCTGATGTTTATTTGAGCGTCAAGTGTTGAAAGACACCGTGGAAATCACCCAAAAGCACGCGGCAGCAGGTCACCAGTGACCAAGAGGCCGCTGACTGCCTCGGGGAATATCCTTCTGTCCCTCTCCCCGCCGTCGGGCACGGTTTCAGCCTGTGGGGGGAGCCGAGCGGGCAAGGTTCCGTGAGCCGGGTCAGAGTGTCCTGCTCCACGGGACCCGGAGCCTGCAGTCTGCGACCCGCGAGGACCCCTGGAACACCCGGCAGCCCTCCGTTAGGAGTTTCAGGGAAAGAAAAAATAATCCCGCCTCATCCTTGGTAGTTTGGGGGTCCGTCCTCACCATGGGACACATCTGATCTATCGCAAAGGGCACGTTCACCGTGCCCGCCCCTGCCCGTGCAGTGGTGTGTACAGGACCTTGCTGCTTTGGGGGTCAGTTTGGCTGACCACTACCCTTAGCTCCCCGGGCTGTCCCACCCGGCCCGAGACGGAGGTGGTGGGTGGTGTCAAAGGCCCCTGTCCCTCTGAAATCCATCTTTTCCCCAGCGGATGCGGATTGCTCCGCCGGCTTCGAGCGCCGTTCCTGCCGCAGGAGCTTGAGCCCTGCGCTGCCGGCAGCGGGAAGCTCGGAGCCGGCCGGCGGGCAGCTCCCCTCCGGGCTGAGCGCTCCCGAGAGCCGCCGGTGCCCCGGTCGATATGTTCGCCTCAATGTCACAGCCGCTGGACAATGGAAACAGTTCATATCGTGGGGTGGCCTTGATAAAAGTATATTTTAAGTAGCGCGGATAAGCGAAGGGGAGAAGAGAGGGGGAGAGGTGCCGGCACGTCGCCCGTAATAACCGCGGCGCTTATCAGCCCGGCCTAAACTCCCCAGCAGTTTCTAAAGTACATTAAGTTACATAAACACGTCTCGGAAAAGAATACACTCCAGCCTGCGATAGTCACCAAAGTGACCCCTCGTACGGCCTCGCACCCGAACCCGCCGGGTCCCCAGGACCGCAGCTCCACGGGAGCATTGGGGCCCGACCCGGCGGGCGAATTCCGCTGCTCCCGGGACTGTCCTGGCCGAGGGGCAGCGAGGGTGCGGCCGGACCGAGCCTTCCCCTCCTCCCTAGTGCACCCTTAGTAAGGAATCACGTTTGCAGAGACCTGAGAGTGGGGGAAGGAGCAACAGCTCTGCGCTTGCACAACGCTTACCCCCAACCCTTTTTTGGGAGGTTGAAGTGCCCGCGAGGGAATTTGCCTTAATTGGATACGAAAGTTTTTTTAACCCCAATCTGCCTTCTTCCCTCTTTGGCCACAACCACCAGGAGCGATGGTCACCTCGCTGGCACCTCCTCCCCAGCGGTGTCTTCCCGCACTCCCCTGCCCTCAAAAATGTCCCTGCACACGCAGCCCCGGTACCTAACCCAGGCATGGTGCAGGAGATACCCGAGAGCCTGCCGGAGCCCCGGGGTGAAAGTTACGTCAGCAGAGGGGGATTTGGGAAAGGAGTGACGTAATGAAGAGTTAGGAGTCTATGATTTGAGCAATTCGACAGCAAACCCGAAACGAAAAGGAATGGAGAGGAACGGGGTAACTGGGAATGGTTTCCCACGCTGGTCCCAGTGTAAGTCGGGTTTTCTTATCGTGTTTATCGGAGGAAATAAAACGAAGCTTGTTGCCCGGCTATAACGTAAACAGGCTAATCGGCAGGGAAAAAAACCAAGGCGCCTGAGTGTAGAACACGGGTCACTTTGGAGCCAGGGAAAGAGGCGCCTGCCAGGCCAACGCTGCCGTTCTTCCCAGCCATCCTCACCTTTCGGACAGGCACCCTCCGGGCCCGGGCGGGTTCCCCATCGCCCGCCCATCACGGGTTTACATGAGCACCGGCAAACCTCTCCTAGCAAACAAAGCCTGGTGCTTGAAAAAAAAAAACCTCACGGTATTTCCCTCTTTATATCCAGTTTTACACGTGTTTGAAATACCCTCGTGTTTAGCTGGAGAAGGGGCATCCAAAAGACTGAAAGGAAACGCGGGATTTAAAGCTCGGTGCTTTTCAGCACAGAAACCCAAGCTGGGGAGAAGCGGCGTGGGCATCGACTCCCGCTGCTTCCACTGCTCTTGTCTCACATTTGCAGGTAAAAGCCACGGCAAAAATGTTTTACGTTTCAAGCTAGGATCGGAGGACGAGCCTGGCAGAAAACAAATCACTGCCCTCGCTTGCAAAGTCTTATTTTCTATTTAATATTGCACTCACTAAAGTACACCTAAAAGTAAAAAGGAAAAAAAGTCACTTTAGCCTGGCAGGGTGACCGATATTATTTAACGATATTATTTAGAGACAACTGACAAGGAAGAAGTATCACCTTTAATCATACCATTTAATAAAGAAACGGTTTCTCGGGAGAGCGATTGTTTTCCGATCAAACCCCTGCCGCGCTATACCACAAAAATTAACGCGAGCAGTAAACTTCCAAGTCACAATCAGTTCATCAATGCCGGCAGAGCGGATCGCTACAGCCAGTGTTTTACCGTACCCCCGGCACTGCAAATTCTTCACCTCCCGTCCACCTCGCCTGGAAAGACCGAAAGAAAAGCCGTGCCTACCCCAGGAGCGACAGCACCGCGCATCAGCAGGTTTGGGCTCGGTTTCTGTCAGGAGGGCTCATGACTGCCGGCTGCCGAGAGCCCGGCTCTGCTCTAGTCCAGCCCTTTGCCGCAGATGACTTTCTGTACAAACTGATGATGACAGATATCCAGCTGATAACCTCTGGTGAACGAAGTTATTTTAATTTCCAGTCACTTTCCTGCTAAGTACCATATCAGTTTGTACACAGCTGAGATAAGAGGGTTGAGGAGCGGGGGGGTAATAAGAAAGAAACGGAGGAAAAAATCGCCAGCTGTTGGGATGGACACATCCCACAGCTTGCTTTGGTTTCACCTGATGGTTGGGGCAACTCAAGGAGGAGCCACATTTTTTCATCACGGATAGCTCGGATTTTGACGAGCAAAACCTAGGGAGATTTGAGGGAGGGAAAAGTTCGCCTGGTTGCTTAGGGCGAAAGCCAGGCACACATCCCCCCCCCGGGCCGCTGCCAGGGGACATTTGCTGACATGCCGGGAGGAGCGGAGAAAAAAAACCAAACAAAAACAACAAAAAAGACTCACAGAAGTTGAATATTCACCATAAAAAAATAAATTATCCGGGAAGGAGAGAAGAGTGTGTATTATTTCTGGGTTAAAATAAAAAAAAAAAAAAAAAAA